GCAAATGTTTTGAGAATGATGAGGGCAACAAATGTGCATATGTGCTTGACACAATGGATGTATGTATGGATTGTGATGAGAATTGTTTGAGGCCCCAATAAAATAATTTTTAAAAAAGATATTCACTGCAATTTTCAACTTAAATTTTTCTTTCAAAGTAGCATGAACATGTATTTAAGTAGCTGATAAGAAAGCTGCTTGAAGAATTAAAGCCCCCAGGATCCACAACGAGATCATACTACTTTCCTAAGTAGAATTTTGTAGAGATGTTCTAGAAAAGCTACCCTTCAATAACAATAGAACTCCCCGTATGTTGGACAGGAACTTGCGCCTTCCTTCTCTAAATAGACTTCCACTCTCCCTCTAAGTCTAAGATTTCCTTAGGCCTTTCTCAAGTTATAGCAACAAATTGCCAATTGTAACATTAAAAAACAAGCCTGCTGGTGCAAAGACATTTGGTTGAAATAAGGTGGAAAAGAAAATTAACCATCACAGCTGGCTGAATACCAGAAGGGAGTAGTAATGTCTATCTTTCTGGATCTAGAGAGAGTTCCTCAGTGGTACAAACCCTAGTAACTCTGTTAGCAAGTCTAAGAAGGTAAACTGCTTGCCAAAGATTACTCAAGGACGTCCCCTCTAGCTAACCTTCCTGTAGGGCCACTCTGGATTTCTCATGGACCTGTGCTCGGAGTCACTTTTGATGAGTTTCCCCAGCGGCCATCTGCATATGTAATCTTGTCTGTTCGTCTTACTTCAGTCCAAGCAGTGATGATGTTTGTTGGTTATGGTTTTAAATTTAAAATATATATATACACACACACATATATTTGTTTGAAATTGACATCCAACTCTTCCGTGTTCATAATTTTTGCTTGTTTTATTTGTGTATCCCTTTCAGAATCGTTGCCTCATTTCTTTTTTTTTTCCAAGTTCATTTAAATTTCCTTTACTCAACAATGTGCATCTAAGTCTACCCCCTGAACTTCCACCCCACTGCTTGCACAAGTCATCTGATAACTTAATAGTCAGGTAATCTTAAAGACAAGAGGTTGGGTAGGGTAAGGTCAGTGGTGGAGAAGAACCCCTTTTCTAATATAGAAGAGGGTTTGGATCCTTATAGCAAAGCCATTACAAGCAAAAAAACAATTTGATTATTATAACTTTTT